CCCGCCTCGGCCTCGGCCGCCCGGGCCCCTTCCCGGAGGCCCCCCCGCCTTGGAACGAACGAGGCCCTGGCTTCTGAGTCCACGGCTCGCCCGGGGCGGGAACGTGCGGGGGGGAGGGCCCGCCCCGACTCCCTCCGGACCGCCGGCTCGGGGACCAGGATCTCCCAGGAACGATGGCGCGAGACCCCTGCCGAGCTGCTTCTGCTGGAGGCGGAAGCCGGGACCGGGGACTCTTGTGTCTCTCAGGAGAAGGTGGCCAGTGTGTACGAAGCGCCGGGCTTTTTCTGCGACTTGGAGCCCGTCCCGGGCGCCCTGGACGCCGTGCGGCAGATGAACGACATGCCCGAGTAGGGACTGGGGCGGGGCGGGCACAGCCCGGGCGGGAGCCCGGCCGGCCCGCCTCACGGCCCCTCTTCCCCGCAGCACCGAGGTCTTCATCTGCACCAGCCCTCTGCAGAAGTACGGCCACTGTGTGGGTGAGAAGGTGCGGCCGCCCGAGTCCTGGTTCTCAAAAGGAACCACGTAGGAACACGAAGCAGCGGGTGGGGGAGGGGGCCAGTGGCTGCCCGCGGATTCGACGCCCCCGCACCCCTGTGCACTCACTGTCCCTGAACCGGGGCTCCTTCGGGCCCTGCTGACGCGCCTGTCTCCCACACAGTACCAGTGGGTGGAGCGGCACCTGGGGCCCGAGTTTGTGGAGCGAATAATCCTGACCAGGGACAAGACGGTGGTCTTGGGAGACCTGCTCATTGACGACAAGGACACCATTCGAGGTTGGATCGTCTCCTTGGCAACCGCCGGGCATCTAGCCTGCCCGGATTAGGGAGGGGGAGTAAAAATAACCAGATTACAGATGACGTGCTTGCTGCCTTTCCTGTCCCAGGTCAAGAGGAGACCCCAAGCTGGGAGCACATCTTGTTCACCTGCTGCCACAATCAGCACCTGGCCCTGCCTCCCTCGAGACGACGGCTGCTCTCCTGGAGTGACAACTGGAGGGACATCGTAGACAGCAAGCGCGGAGCTGCGCCGTAGTGAATGGACCCCGGAAGGACAGGCGTGCCGGCAGGGAACCCCTGCAGAGCCGAGTGAGGGGGCAGCCTCACGGTGGTGGCCCCTGCCCCCATGGAGCAGACAAGACACAGGCCCAGCCACCTGACGTTTCCCGAGATGGCTGCCCCTGAACGCGGCTGGCATGCAGACAAGTGGGAAGACCAGTCAGGAAGCTTTTAATAAAAAACTCTGGCTTTCTGGTCTCTTAAAACCCTTTATTTGGGAAAGAAAAGGAACAGGAGCTCTGGGTGGGGGTAGTTGGAACAGGCGGATGAGGAGGCGATCCGCCGTTCTCCTCAACCCAGTGCCCCGAGAATCTGCCCCGTTCCCACACCCGCTTGGACACCGTTCTTCCAACACCTGCCTTTCTTTGGCCATCTGAGGGGTCCCTCTTATTTTTTTTTTTCAATTGGAGTCTCACTCTGTCGCCCAGACTGGAGTGCAGCAGCCCCTCCCAGCCACCGCAGCCTCGACCTGCTGGGCTCCGGCCATCCTTCGCCTCAGCCTCCAAGTAGCCGGAACTACAGGCGCACATTACCACACCCGGCTTATTTTTTAATTTACTGTAGAGATGAGGTCTCGCTGCCCAGGCTGGTCTCGAACCCGCGGGCTCAGGCAGTCCCCTCACCTCAGCCTCCCAAAGGCGCGAGATTATAGGCTGAGCCACCGAGCCCAGCAACTCTTTTTTTTTAACCATGCAACAAAACCTTTATTAACATTTTAGACAGGTTCAGTTATTGCTGAAGCAGGTTATTTCTAAACTTAAATGGAGTAAATGGCTACACTGCCGAGTAATGCCATCAGTGGGCACTGTGAATACAAGACTGGAGAATTAACAGCCACCCCTCAGATGGAGGACTAGGGGCAGGGGGGGACTCTGGATGTTGTGGCTCGAGAGAGGCCATCTTCTAGCTGTCTGTCTGCAAAGATGAGCCTCGAGGCCCGGTGTGGTGGCTCAGCCTATAATCCCAGCACTTTGGGAGGCCGAGGTGAGAGGATTGCCTGAGCTCACAGGTTCGAGACCAGCCTGGGCAGCTTGGCGGGACTTCATCGCTATAATAAATAAAAAATTAGCCAGGCGTGGTGGCGCATGCCTGTAGTTTCAGCTACTTGGAAGGCTGAGGCAGAAGGATCACCTGGACCCAGCAGGTTGAGGCTGCGGTGGCCTGGAGCGTGCCACTGCCCTCCAGCCTAGGTGACAGAGTGAGACTTGTACTCAGAAAAAAAAAAAAAGATGAGCCTCTGCTGGTCAGGAGGGATGCCTTCTTTATCCTACACCTTGGCCTTCACGTTCTCGGTGGTATTGCTGGGCTCCACCTCCAGGGTGATGGTCACTCTTCACCAAAGATCTGCATTTTGACCTACTAGAGAATGCAAAGCTACTCTGAATCGCCAAACACGTCCAGCCCCCTAAAAGCCACAACAAGGACACCTCACAAAGCCAGTTGACACTGAATGAGGGGGGTCACTCTTAAGCGGGTACAGGATTAGCCGGGTGTGGTAGCGCGCACCTGTAGTTCCGGCTACTCGGAAGGCTGAGGCAGAAGGATCGCCGGAGCCCAGCAGGTCGAGGCTGCGGTGGCCGGGAGCGGCCGCTACACTCCAGTCTGGGTGACAGAGTGAGACTCCAACTCAAAAAAAAAGAAAAGAGGGTGCAGGAGGGAGGCCAGGACATCCATTTTTTCTGAACTCCAGCTTTCTCTCGGGCCCCTGCTCTTTCCTTGTTGGCTAGCGTGCACACAGGACAATGAGCCATGTTTTTTGTCACAATCCCTTCCTCCGCCTCCGTGGAGCTTCACTCTTTTATCCCTGATGCCCTCGTGAACCTGAGATACACTTCTAGGAGCAGGGACTCTCCCCTGACCCAAGCGTGGCAAGGCTTTCAGGGGGGGCCGTGGGGTGGTACGGAGAGAAGATGCAGCGCCAAGGCTCTGATAGGTCGCTGGCTACTTGGCCCTGTTCTTGGTGCCCAATGGCCACCTCAAGCCACAAAGCTGAGTCCCTCAAGGACAAGGGCCACATTTTCATCTCTAAGTCCCTTATGTGGTGCCTAGCAGAGAGTGGAGCTGTGCTGACAGCTAGTCCTGGGCCATGGGGTTATCCGGGTCAGCATCCACCACAGCCAATGCCCACCTGCAGAGCTAGAGGGGGAGGTATGGTCTTTTGTAGCCCTGGAGGGGGCAGGACACCTTCCCAGGGCCCAAGATCCTTTTATCGCGAAGTGTCTAATTTCCGTCCCTCGAAATTACTCCAGATACTTCTGTGGAGGGATGACCCCTTATTTCCTCAAGCGCAGGCGGGTGTCCTAAGTCTCAGTCCCAGCGGCTCCTCCTGAGAACACCCAGTGCAAAGGCGCGGGGTCCAAGGACCAGGCCACTTCTTAAATGGGCGTGACTTCCTTCTCCGTGTGTCCCGAAGTCTGGCTTCCACATTCCTAGTGGTGCTTTCATCACAGTGTAAATACCCGTCGTGCTGAAACAACTCACCTTTACAATGGCCGGAGAGGCGCCCCTTTGGCAGAAAGTGCTCAGGAGAGCGGTGCTCCCTCGGGTGTCCTGTGCCCCCTGCCAGGATTGTGGGCTCTAACGGTAGGGGTGCCAAGGCCTTAGGGTCTGCTTGGATCAGGGCTGCTGCGGGGCTGCAGTTCGTGGCAGTGGGATGCCCAGGGCAGAGTGAGCCTGCCTGCCGCGGGCTTCGGCCACTTGGCTTGGGGAGCAGACGTCCTCCAGGAAGATCTGGGCCAGGTTCCGGAGTCTGGTGTTGGCTGAGAGAGAGAAGCGCAGCATGCACTGTACCACGGGCATGGCGGTCAGCTCAGGGTGGCAGCTGGGGCCTGGCGAGCTCAGGTACATGAGTGTGGTGACAGCGGACAACACGGTCTCCTCGTTGGAACTGGACAGGCAGTTGGTGACGAGCGGGATGCCTCCAGCCTGCAGGATGTGCTCCTTGTTGGCCCTGTCGGAGCACAGGTTGCAGAGGCCGCCTGGGGAAGAGTGAGGAGTCTGGATGCGCCAGGCCTGGGCTTCCTTCCTGCTTCCCTCCCAGCTCCTCTGCCCAGTGAAGAGGGGCCCAGGCCTGTGAGAAGCTGGCCCAGGGACAAAGGATCCAAAGTCCATTCTTGTCTCCAGCCCTTTCTCTCCAGGTTCTAGAAAGACCTGCCTGCCACAGCCTAGCCTTTCAGAAGTGGGCACAAATTCCTTTCCCTCTTGGTTCAGCCAGCTCAGTGGCCGATACGCTCACCTTAAAAGTAAAAAACATTCCAGAGCCCACGTGTTCAAGACTAGCCAGGACAACTTGGCAAGATCTCATCTCTATAATAAACCAAAAAATTAGCCAGGCGTGGTGGCGCATGCCTGTAGTTCCAGCTACTTGGAAGGCTGAGGTGGCCGTGAGTGTGCCACTGCACTCCAGCCTGGGTGAAGAGTGAAACTCTGACTCAAAAAAAGGCAAAAACAGGGCCATGCCTGTAATCCCAGCACTCTGGGAAGCCGAGGCAGGAGTATTGCACGAGGACAGTTCAAGACCAGCCTAGGCAACATAGTGAGACCTCTGTTGCTAAAAAAATTAAAAAAGCAGCCAGGCTCGGTGGCTCAGCCTGTAATCCCATGCCTTTGGAAGGCTGAGGTGAGTGGATTGCCTGAGCCTGCGGGTTCAAGACCCGCCTGGAGAGACTCATCTCTACAATAAATCAAAAAATGAACCAGGCGTGGTAGTGCGCGCCTGTAGTTCCAGCTACTCGGAAGGCTGAGGCAGAAGGATTGCTGGAGCCCAGC